AAAAGCTTGCTGTTGTCAACATCTTTAAAACGGTCTCTAACCTTTCAAGTGCGTCTTCCTTAGTGGCTGCTACAATCATTAAATCGTCCATGTAAACTATAACGTACGAATACGCTAGTTCGCCTAATGCATTCATTACCGCTCTCTGAAATACTGAAGGCGAATTCTTTAGACCAAACGGCATTGCTAAGAACTCGTACTGGCGTTCTGGAGTCACAAAAGGCGTGTATTCAATGGAATAGTATGTACTGGGACCTGATAATATCTACAAGCCATATCAAAACAAGTGAAATATTAAGCTCCTCGCAATCTAGATAGTTGGTCGGAGATTAACGGCAAAGGAAACTTGTCATCCACTGTGAATCTATTTAATTCCCTGTAATCTACACAGAGCCTCATAGACCCATTCTTCTTCTTAACTAACAATGCTGGACTAGTTTATTACTTAATGCTCAATCAACTCTTGCACTTTTGATCTTAACAGCTCTCTTTCGTTAGGTCTGAATCGATACGGTCGCCTTTGTATGGTTTTGGTCGGTTCACTTAAGCGAATTTTCATTTCCCCAGTACTTATACGTGTAAGAGAAGTTATCCGAAAAAACGATTCTGAGTATTTTTTAATAATTGATTTAATTGATTTTTCTCTGTGCCATGCAATTCAATTTCTCAAGTATCAAAGTTAAATTCGGTGTCAGGTACGACATATGCGTTAACTGTTTTATTTTTCACTAACTCTACCCCGTTACTTGACACTAATGCAGAATATCCCTGGGCCAAGATTTCAGGCCCAATTACAAGTTCATTTTTCATACATGCGTCATCGACTACGTGAAACATTATTTCAATACAATTTCCATTAATCATTACATTACTTCAAATTTGTATTGAACTCACTAGGTTAGCATTACCTATTCCACTTAACGATATGACGTTATTAAATCTCTTTCCACTCAACTTAGGCGATAGACTCTCTTTAGCCAAGGAGCACTCAGCTACGGAATCAAAAGTATACAGGAATTTCTCACCTAGATGCAGCATGGATGCTTTTGGTTCTTTCACTATATATATATCTACTCGCTTAGGGATGCGTGATCCCGATCCAGAACCTTTCAAATGACTTACAGCGTTTAGCACTTGGTTCCTCGTGTAAGTAGTTTGATCATACACTTGTAACTCTGACTGCAGCTCGCGTCTGTTGTGAATCTTAACTGTGTACGGAACTCGATGGAATAGACGGGCATGACTTGCCAAATGTCTAAGTAGGTACATACTACCGATGCCGCAATCTCTTCTTTGTCAATATCCCGCCCTTTCGAACAATTGTTTGAATTGCGGCCACGTGATACCGGCATAACAGACCTGCGATAAACCACTGTGACGCACTTCCTTCTAGAGACTTTGTTAACGCCAAAATTAATGCACTACCTTGCAGCGACGTCTCGCTGAAAATAATGTCTACCGTCGCGCACCACTGCACTGCATCGGCTCCAGCTATGTGTGCATAAACGTCGAATATTGTCATTCCGTACAGGCTATAAGGTACATATGCAAATATATAAGTAAAGGATCTGATCAAGCAACTTTCAGTGTCAGAAATGCTTATGACGAAGTTGAAAATTATTTGAGCGGCCGGTACATCAGTACATCTGAAGCAGTGTGAAGGTTGTTAGAGTTTCTTATCCATGACAGACACCCTACCGTAGTACACTTAGCGGTGCACTTAGAGAACGGACAACGAGTATACTTCTCAGCACAAAACTTGCAAAATATTGTGGAAAATCCACCAAAAACGACACTGACAGCGTTTTTTGACCTGTGCAGTAGGGACGGATTTGCCAAAGCACTACTCTATCACGAAGTCCTAACAATAAGAATAAATTTTCTAGAAGGAAACGTGGTCAAGACGTAGTTGGACACAATGGCATAAAAAAAGAGGCAGCATTAGGAAGAGTGTACGGCATTCATCCTTCTCAGTCAGAATGCTTTTATCTCCGGATACTACTACATCATGTACGTGGCCCAACATCCTTTCAGGACTTAAAAACCATTGATGGAGTTGTTAAAGAGACCTACAAAGCCGCTTGCCGAGATAGAGGTATGCTGGAAAATTATAACCAATGGGAAGTAACTTTGAGAGAAGCATCGATATACCAATGTCCGTCAAAATTGAGAGAATTGTTTGTGGTGATTTTATTATTTTGTTTCCCCTCGGAACCTCTCAACTTATGGGACGCCTTAAAAGACGATTTGTATCAAGATATCAGACACCTAGCCCAACAACAAGGTCAAGATTTTGATGTTTATAATGAAGGCTTGATACAAATCGAAAACAAACTGTTAGAAATGAACGACAAAAATTTAAGGGACTTTGGGTTACCTACTCCTAATCGCTTACTACAACATAATATAATTAATGCCATACCAAGCTGTGCATACGATGTTAACGAGTTATCAGTCTTTCTCAACTCAAATGTACCCAAGTTGGTGGCAGATCAAAAAATAGCATTCGATGCTATAATTGCAAGTGTAGAAAATAACAGGGGTGGACTTTTTTTTTGGATGCGCCTGGCGGAACGGGTAAAACTTTTCTTGCCAATTTAATATTAGCCAAAGTACGACAGTCCAGAAGAAAAGCACTAGCAGTTGCGTCGTCCGGAATTGCCGCGACTCTATTAAATGGTGGGAAAACTGCACACTCAACCTTTAAATTACCGTTGTCTGTATCCTTAGAACAACTATCTGTATGCTCAATCCGCAAAATCGGTCCACTGGGGCAACTGTTACAGGAATCGTCACTGATTACATGGGATGAGTGCACCATGAGCCATAGAGCTCATGTAGAAGCTGTGGACCGCACATTAAAAGATATCAGGAACTCGGACAATTTGATGGGGGCGTAACCTTTGTGTTGGCTGGAGACTTTCGCCAAACACTTCCTGTTATAAAAAAAGGTACACGTGCCGACGTTATTAAAGCGTGCCTCAAATCATCTCCTTTATGGCAATCCATTGAAACTCTTAATTTGTGCACAAATATGAGAGCACATTTAAGTAATAATAACAATGGAAATTTCTCGCAAAAAAATACTACAACTTGGTGATGGTAAATTACCTTCAAAAGTGGCAAATAGCTCCCAAGTGTTGTTGACAAATGAATTGGCTCAAACTGTGAACAGTCTGGAAGTTCTTATAGACAAAATCTATTCCGACGTCCAAAACCTCACAGAAAGAAATTACAATTAAACGACTCAGTAAACGAAATTAATAAAATGATTATGGGAAAAGTTCCGGGTGATTTTAGGTGTTACAAATCTATTGACACCGTATGTAACATTGAAGATACTGTGCACTATCCGGAAGAATTTTTAAATTCCCTCAATCCTCCTGGCCTACCATCACATGAAATAAAATTAAAAAGAGGCACTCCCGTTATGCTTTTGAGGAAATTAAGCCCTCCCAGTATGTGTAATGGTACAAGACTTATGATAAAGGAATTACGAGATAATGTGATTGTAGCCACAATCATTACTGGACCCGCGGCCGGACAGCTCGCTCACATTCCACGAATTCCGATGATTCCGACGGATTTGCCTATATCCTTTAAAAGGTTACAGTTTCCTGTAAAGATATCGTTTGCCCTTACGATAAATAAATCACAGGGACAAACTTTTTCGATTGTTGGCATCGACCTAAGAAAAGAGTGCTTCACTCATGGGCAATTATATGTTGCCCTTTCTCGTGTAGGATCACCAAAAAATCAATATGTATTGTTATCACCAACAAATACCACAGCCAACATAGTGTACAGCGAAGCTTTAAGATAAAAGTTCTGTAAAAAAAAAATAACAAATAACCAATAGAAATAAAAGATAATTTTAAAAAACCCGGGCGAAGCTGGGACAGGCAGCTAGTAATATGTATAATGATTTGCTAGTTATTATTTGTCTATAAATTTTTCATGTTTTTGAAAATTTTTCATATGACAGCAATATGATTTCGTCCGATTTTGATAAAATTTAATTCGAAAATCAAGAGTCGTTAAAAAAGTCTAAACTCCAAAAGTTAAGATTGCCTGATGAAAAACAATGATGTTATAATTTTATTTTCGTTAATTCTATATAGATTTTTCGATCTTTTCTATGGCAGCTATATGATATAGTTCTCCGATTTCTATGAAATTGTTTTCTCGATTCAAGGGTAGTTGAAAAACCCGACGTTCCAAAAATCATGCTAGTGGGATTAAAAACAACGACGTAAAAATGTTGTTCAGTATTTGTATATATATTTTTCGATCTTTCCTTTGGCAGAGGTATAATCTAGCTATCCGATTTTGATACAACTTAATTTAAGATTTAATAGTAGTTAGAAAACATCATCTGGATGAAACCAAGTCGATATGATCAAAAACAACGAAGTAATAGTTGTTTTTTAATCTCTCGTATGGGAGCTATCCGATATAGACGCCCGTATTGACTTATATACTGCATTCAATAACTACACAACTTTTGGTAAAGTTTCAGCAAGATAACTTTAAGACTGAGAGACTAGTTTGAAGAGAAACGGACAGAAGGACAGACGTTCAGACGTACAGACGTATTTCGCTTCAGATCGTGACCCTGATCAGGAATATATATACTTTATGGGGTTTGAGGTGTCACCTTCACTGCATTGCAAATTTCTGACTGAAATTATAATACAATTTGCTCTGCAAGGGTATAAAAATAATACCCATTGTGTTTATGTCCAACAAGCTCACAAAGAGTGCTGCCAGGTCTATGCACACCCTTACTAGGTTGTAAAATCGATTTTAGGGCTTTTGAATCCAATGCTGCTAAAAACATTGCAAGCTGTCCCAGTTGTCAGTTCCGCTGGTATTTGTGCGTACTCGTGTCAGCTGAAGTGTGATTTACTGACATTGACGCCGTAATTGCACATACGGGAGACACCAATAGGACTATATGAGGTAGAAATTCCCGCAGTGATTCTTACGACTATCGCAAGATGCGTACGTTTTTGGTTGCATTGCTCCTGCCACTTGCTCTGTTATGTAATCTTAATGCCACCCGGCTCACTTTTCACACCTGCAATGAGTCTTCAATTTCAATAGGTTTGTTCTTATGGTACTGTCCTGAGCTAGAAATGTCCTACGCCAATTGTCTTTAGCGCTCTCACAGATTATCCGCGACCTGCAACCACTTCCTCTGGTTATACTGGTTGGCCCGGACTCTGATCTAACTGACGCCCACTGCAAAAACGATCGCGGTGTTCACTTGGATACTTTCTTACAGCGTCTTAATCGCCTTCATTACCAGTTGGTGATCTTCAGTGACACGGGTCTTTTTTTCCAGCACATCGAGAAAAACCTGCAGGGGGCCAAGGAGTGCGTCAGCCTAATTCTGGATGAGCCTAAGAAGCTAATAAAAGGCCTTCGCGAGCGCCGCCTAGCCCATCGACTAAGCCTATTCATTTTCTATTGGGGAGCCTGCTGGCCACCGAGCGCACGCACCATTAACTTTACTGAGCCACTGCGGGCGGTGGTGATAACTCGTCCTCGCCAAAAGGCCTTTCGCATCTACTACAACCAGGCCCGACCTAGCAGCGTCAGTCAGCTACAACTGGTTAACTGGTACGATGATGATAACCTTGGATTGCATCGCAGCCCGCTCCTGCCTACTGCATTATCTGTTTACGCGAACTTTAATGGTCGCGTCTTTCGGGTGCCAGTGTTTCATGTAATGCGGCATAATTTTAGATAGAAATGTGGGCCTTAAGAAGTTCTTATTGCTTTCAGTCTCCGCCATGGTTTTGGGTGACCTATTGCAACAACAGCAAAGAGGAATATGACGCTACAATGGCTATAAATGGCACAGACTGTAACGAAATGCATGTCACTGGTGGCCGCGATCACCGTCTGCTCTTGCTGCTGGCGCAGCACATGAACTTTAAGTTTAACTACATCGAAGCTCCCGGGCGGACTCAGGGTTCAATGAAATTAGACTATGCCAAGGAGTTAAACGATAATTTTACCGGTGGAATTGGAATGTTGCAAAATGGAGTGAGTAGTCGTAAGCCGCAGCTTATATATACCTTACTTATACAGTCTTGCCTTTGCAGCAGGCCGACTTTTTCTTGGGTGACGTCGGTCTCAGTTTGGAGCGTCGTAGGGCCATCGAATTCTCGTTCTTCACTCTGGCTGACTCAGGAGCCTTCGCAACACATGCTCCCAGGCGTCTAAATGAGGCTTTTGCCATAATGCGCCCTTTCAAACTTGATATTTGGCCATATTTGATCCTGACAATTGTCTTTTCTGGGCCCATTTTCTACGGTATCATAGCTTTGCCATATATCTGGCGTCAACGTAGTGTTAGCCAAGACTTGGAGGATATTGGAAATAAAAATTTCTACTTGGCTTATATAAAAGAGATTTCCCCGTTATTGTTGAAGTTTAACCAGCGCAAGGTCTTCCCCAAACAGCAGATGCCCCGGAAGCTGTTTGAAAAATGCATTTGGTTTGTCATACGTCTCTTCTTAAAACAATGTAAGTAACACGTTCAATTTCTATATACATATGTACATAAAAGACGACTAAGAAAGACTCTTCTAAAGCAAAAACGTCTTAACATAAAAACCTAAACAAATAGGTAAAAAAAACTTTTTAAGTTTAACCGTTTTATGTAAAACATACATTGCAATGTTTAAGATAAATGTACTAAAAACCTAAAAATAATATTGGGTCTACAACATTGCTTCCGCCGTTTTCCAATATATGTCTCTACGGTCAAGCACTGGTCGATATAAATCGATTAAATACTTTTATATCGATCTTACACATCTGTCCAACAAAACCCAACTAAATATTTGTGGATATCTGTTTGCATCCCAAACTTATTCTCAACTGAAAATGTCACTTTTTGAGCCGAATTCTCGACATTTGCGGGAAATTTTGCTTTTCTTTTTTAATTCCAAGAAAAGTGCTGCTGAAGCTCATCGAATGCTTTCGGATACGTACGGTGAGGATGAAGTTCTGAGTCAAAGAACATGTCGCGAATGGTTTCAACGTTTTAAGAATGGGGATTATGAAGTCAAAGACCGGCATGGTGGTGGAAGGGAGAAGATTTTCGAAGATGCTGAATTGTCTACAATCGTTGTTTAAAATGTTTGTTTGCCCCACGGTTTATTTTAGTCTAGTCTAAGCATATGTTTATAATTCCCAAGTATGTATCTATTTTATATTATTTTTAGGTTTTTAGTACATTTATCTTAATTGGGCACTACTATAAGTGCGAGTGAGAGGGTGATTTCCCGTAAGTGCGAAAGAAACAGAAGAAGATGATGTCGTTTTACCTTTATGCTGTGCACGGGGTTTAAAAAGGACTGTTATATGACCATTAAGTATTAATTTTTCCGAAATTTTTGGTTTTTACACAAAGCTGCCCTTCAGGAATCGCTCCCATATTGTTCACATTTCAAAATATTTTTCTGCAATATTACATGTTACGCCTTGTATGTGATTGCTGCAATAATTGCAACAAGTATTTTTCACAAGCACACAAGGGTTAACGTTTTGAGAAAAAATCGTCCGCGGACAACCTCTCACTTCGAAATCCCGAGCGCACTGAACCATAGGGGGAAAAAACCCGAGCGATTTTGCAGCCGACGATACTACCTTGTATAATTGTACCATGACTCAGGCACGGTAGAAAGAGTGGGAGATACTAGTTCCTCTCCCTTCCCCTCGATCTTACGCTTTTTCGATCAGCATAACGGGACCCTGACGCGAGTTTGAATGTTTTTACCCTGCTCAGCGCCGCTAAAGAAGTTTTCACTTCAAAAAACAAAACCGCAATTCTGAAAAAAATGCTAACTAAAATATAATTTGGGCCAATAGCCTTAATTTTATTGTTTGACAAATTTTTAATCGTTTCCTCTCTGTTATAAAGTTTTTCAAATGCATTGTGTTCATTCAAAATGTGTAATTCACGATTCAAAGGCATAACTGAGATGACCTGCATTAAATTTTTTTTTTTAAGATTAGCTCCATTTAGTGTATTTATAATCTGTTAGATATTTAGTTTGGATTGCTGATGAGGTATAAAAGCCATGTGGCATGTGACAAAAATGTGATCAGAGGACCGTACAGCAACAACGAGAAATTACCTGACTCATAGAATAAAGCATACTGGTATTTTTAAGTAAAAACATGAAAAAAGCTAGCTTCAGCAAGCCGAAGTTTATGTACCCTTTCAGACTTCAAATATGTTGGACAAAATTCATTAAAGCTAAATAACATCCGAGCTTTGACGATTTTTCTATTCATTTTCCATATTTTCGACTTTTGTTCATAGCTATATGATATAGTCTCCGATTTTTATGAAATTTTTTTCAATTTTTTTATTGGGTAGCCTCAAAATTGCGGCTTATGTATAAAACACCACTTCGTTCATATGGCTGCCTCGGCTGGCTTTACAGTAGCCCATACAGTCGACCCAATTTTTAAACACATTTTTGATGGTAGGTCCCTCAATGGCCCTGATGGCGACTTCAATCTCGTGCTTTAGGTCGTCAATCGTCTCTGGGTGGTTGGCGTAACACTTATCCTTGACGGCACCCCACAAAAAATAGTCCAACGGGGTCAAATCGCAGCTGCGAGGCAGCCAGTTGACATCGCCGTTTCGGCTGATTATGCGATTTTCGAATGTACCGCGCAAAAGATCGATTGTGACGTTGGCTTTGTGGCACGAAGCGCCGTGCTGATGGATCCATGTGTGGTCGTTGTCTTCCTCTTCCATTCGGGGAAAGAAAAAGTCTTCCAACATGCCGCGATAGCGGACACCATTAACGGTTACGGAGGCTCCTTCCTCGTTTTTAAAGAAAAACGGCCCAAAAAACGTTGCCACCCGACCACCCGACGGAAATTATAAATTAACGCTTAACTTATAGATTTAAGCTATATCAACTTGGGCCTTAAGCTTATTCGAGGTTAGATTTAGTATCTTTATATATATACATGGTATAGTTTTTAGTTATTGGGATGGAAGCTTATGTACAGGGGCTTATTTTTGATAATATTACATAGATATTGCTGATGTACAGGCGTTTGGTTTTACATATTATATTATTACATAGATGTTACAATATATATTTAATTAAATGGTAAAACTTTTGAGAAAGTCTGTTGTTTTGTTTATGTTTTTGTAGGATGTGATTCCCTCTATAGTTGTTTCAAGGTATTTGTTTCTTTGACTGTGGTAGAGAGGGCAATCTATTAGGATGTGGGGAATGGTAAGAGTTATGTTACAATTGGGACAGAGTGTAGGGGGGGATTTATTGAGGATATGGTTGTGTTGGGGGGAGCGCTGGCCTCCGGTCCGGAAGGCCCGGGTTCGAGTCCCAGGCTCCCCGAGAAAAAGAAACGGTCTCTTTTTCCAAATCTCCACCACTTCTATGCTCTATCGCTCACTTAACATTAGTAACAAATTTCGGCTCCCCGGATCTGCACACCCCCTCGTCCACGTTACTATGGACCCAGCAATAGAACTTTTCGTCACTCCTAGATGGCTTATCACCAGTACGATCGAAAAGCAAAGATAAATGAATCCTTTTCAAAACTGTAGAGGCAGGCTCTATGCTCCCGGGTGGAGTTAAAGAATTAAATTTTTTTATGGTTGTGGGTTAAATTGGTGTGGGTGAGTCTGATTCTGCTAAATTTCTCAAAGTCTGTACGTAAGGTGTTATTGATTAGTTCAGGAGATGCTCTTTTGTGGCTAATTGATTTGTAGTATGGTGATGTTTTTCTTAATGTGCTTTCGTTTAGTATTTGTGGGTTCTGTTTGATGTATTCGCTTATATCTGATGGGTTGTAGTTGCGTTCGGTGATAAGAGAGAAGTTGTGTGCGTTTTTAGCTCCTTTGTCTGCAATATCATTTCCTTTTATCCCGCTGTGTCCGGGGATCCAAAGCAGTGTCAGTTTGTCCGTTTTGTATTTTTCAACTATATTTCGAATTGAGTTTGTGTAATAGTTTTGGTTGTTGGTGTTGTTAATTGCATTTAGAGAGGATAGGGAGTCGGTTCAGATAACGTATTTTCCTTCATTTTGGCTGGCATATAAGCATGCGGCGAGGATTGCCGCAATTTCCGCAGTAAAAATGGAAAAATTCGGGGAGCAGTTTGAAAATAATTATATCGGTATCAGTTGTGACACTATACGCCTACGATACGCATATTGGTGACTTGGAGCTATCGGTGTACAGAAATGTATGATTTTCCATTGAACTTAGAGTTTCCTTAAATTTTTGTTGATAGGCAATTGAGGGTGTGTTTGCTTTGTTGACTGAACTTAAGGAGGTATTGGTGATTGGCTGCTTATTTATTATTATTTATTTTTCTTTTTTGCTCGTATTGGGGAGAGTGAAATATTTTGTTTTTTACATATGGTAGATGGATAGTGTTGTAAAGGGAGGAGGGTATTTTTGGCACTTTTTTTGCATTCATAATATGCTTATATATTTGTTCGATGGGTGAGTATTTTGAGTTTGAGATAGTTTTAAAGATTTTTTTGGGTAGCATGTATCTCTCTAAACTCAAGGGGGGTTATATTTGATTATATTAAGAGATTATTTATTGGTGTTGTACGGTGAGCAGAGAATGCAAGTCGGGTGGCTGTGTGGTATAAAGTTTTTATTTTGTTTAGGATGAGCTTTGGGGCTTTTCCGTATAGGTGTATTCCATAGTCAATTTTAGTCACTAGAATGGGTTTTACCACGTAAAGAATTGTGGTAATATTGGATTTGAACCTGTTCTTGGATAGACACTTGATTATGTTAAGCCTTTTTGATAGTTGCAAAGTTAAGTTTTCAATGTGGTTGTTCCATTTGTGTTTCTTATTTATTATTATTCCTAGTAGATTTAGTACGTCTACGTTTTGCAATGGCATATTATGTATTTCAAATGAAAAGTTGCAATTCCTTTTCCTGCATACATGTAAGTGTTTGCATTTGGTTTCTGATAGAGAGGCTCCTGAGTATTCACACCATCTTTGAATTTCTCTAAAAAGTGGATTTATATAAAGGTTATTAGTTTTTTTGTTTAATTTGTAAATAATAGTGTAATCATCTGCGTAGGCCGTGAATTGACAGTTATTTTGTCTGCTTATTATTTGGTTGAGTTTATTTTGTGACAAAAAGGATAACCGACAAGGGTGAGCCTTGCGGTATTCCGTTGTCTAGTGATCGGGAGCTCGAATAAACTTTGTTGGTAAGGACTGTAATTTTTCTGTTGGTAAGGAAGTTGAATATGTATTTTGCTATCACTGGTCCTATTTTCCAAACTTTGTGTTCGTCGATGATGGTGTGGATGCCTACCCTGTCGAAAGCTTTAGCGAAGTATAATGAGATAATGGAGACGTGGTTTTTATTTGATAGGGAGGAAGTTATCTGGTAATCTAGCATAGCTAGTCAATCAGATACTGATTTTCCCTTTTTAAATCCAAATTGACTGCTGTCTAGCAGCTTGCCGTTTGTAGCAAGCCACCGAAGCCGT